GGACTGATCGCGTAGCATCTGACATCTTGTCAAACTCATCAATGCAGCATACTCCGCCGTCTGAGAGCACAAGCGCTCCACTACCATTCGTCAGCTGAAGTCCAGCTTCATTGCCGTCCGTTGACTTACCTCTCCAAGACCAGCTGCTTCGAGTCTGGGTCTCGAGTGACATAGGCCGTGAGACCAACAGCAGAAGAACCCTTGCCTGATGTATACACGCCACGAGGAGCAATCTTGTGGACATACTGTTGACCGTCAGCGCAATCGGCCTTCAAGATACCGAGAGACATACCTGCAAGATTTGACTCTTACTCGTACCTGGGTCGCCGACCATAAGTACGTTGATATCTCCTCGATATCTCGGCCCACCACCACCTCCTCCACGCGCGATGCTCTTATTCGTCCCTCCGAACAGCTGCAGCAAGATACCTTTTTTCACGTCGTCCATCTCGTAGATACTGGGCGCCATGGATCTGGCAAGCATGTCGTAGATATCGGGGTGACGCGACAGCTCGAGCAACTTGGCTTCCATCTCTGCACTGGCGGACCACGCGACTTCGTCACCTCTCTCATCATCATCAAGAGTCTCGTCGTGTCGCTCGGGACGTGCTAGACTCTCCTCCTCGTCGTCTTCGCCACCAACGCCAACACCTGGCGGTCGCCCTTCTCCTCCGCGAGTAGTCGGGTCATACCCCATACGAGCCGTATTCGTGCGCTTGACATGCACAACATCGAGATACGTCTTGAACAGACTCTTGATACTACGCTGGCGGGGGTTGACGCGCACAGGAATACTACGGAAAATACCAGTGACGATGACTCGGTCACCCGGTTTGACAAGATCGACCAACTCGTCGTACACGCATAGAGAAACAGTGTGTGGCGTTTGCCCATCGGGTACCGCGTCTGGTGTCTCTTGTAGTCGGACGACTTGCTTATCGGTAAAGTCGGAGCGATTGTGTATGAGTGACATGGTGCCTTTGGAATTACAGACGTCGCGAGGGCATCGCTCCGGTTCGGAGATGCGACCACGATCAATCTCTGCTTGAACAGTGTGTTGGCACACCAAGCAACGGAAGAAAGCTGGGAGCGAGCGTGAGCGAGCTATCAGATGCAGAGTAGCAAGTGTACTCACCAGTAGTCATGTCCGGGATGACAGGTGTCGCACGAATGACGAGTCCTTTGACCGAGACGAGTTTATCCGTGTCTGCACCATCAGCTTGAGGTCCAGCTTGGCATCTCGCCGAACATACCACCAGGATTGAGATCTCGCATATTGACGCATCGCTCTCCTCCAAACGGCCTGACCTTGAACACCCTTCCCTCAATCTCCCTGACACTCTCCTCGACCACATGAACATCGAGCTCGCCAACCATACCCTCCGCATACCTGCTCTGCACAGCTTCGAGCTCCTCCTCTGCCTGCTCGATCATGACATCTCGCAACACTTGATCCATGATAGGAATGACCTCTTGCGGATAGGCCACGAGCTGGTGGTACAACTTTTTCGTCGGGGGATAAGAGAGCAAGTTGAGTGCGTCGAGGTTGAGATTGGTCTGCCCCGTCTCGCGGAGTTGACCAAGATATCGTTCGTATAGTGCCTCTTCACCTTTTCCCGTGGGAAGATTGTCGTAAAGCGTTATACTGGGTGGAGCACTCTCTCCAGCTTCGACAGCAAGTTTCGCCTGAGAAGCATTATACACCGATCGATATTTGAGTTTGAATCCTCGCAGGAAATTACGGAAATCATTCATACTTTCTTGGAGCGAGATGGTCGTTCCCCAAATGTACTTGACCATTCCACCATCATCTGCACCATCTTGGTCGATACCTCCATCAATGGCAGACATTGTTGGTGCTGAAGAGCCGAGAGGTCGAGGAGTAGCCACATCGCCTTGAACACCCGGCGAAGAGTCGCGTAGGTTCGAGGGTGTTTGAGGTGGCTGAGCAGTCCGTCGTGCGAGTGAAGGCGATGATAATGGGAATGAAGAGTGGATATCACCACGCCTTTGTCGGCGGGGAGTCGATCCTCCAGACCTAACAATGTCAGCCTAGTGTTTCCACTCGAATGGAAAACGGCAGCTCACGCAGGGAAGAATAATGGTGTTTCGGCTCGTGTTCGACCGACACTTCGATGAGTTGCACTTGGTGCTCTCGCTGACGCTGCAGATGAGGTCGGAAAGTGAAGTGGAGAGCTTGACGCAGGAGCTACGTTTGTACTATCAGCTTCGGCTTCAAAGAGACAACGTTGTGAAGCAAAACTCACGAGCGTTGTTTCGAGGTGTACCATCCACAGACGACGTAGGGAAGTGTAAAGGTGAGCTGGAACGAGGATTTGGCGTCGACATTTTGGAAAGTCAGTCTCCGTCTAGAGGTGGTGTTCAAATTGAGGTAAGGAGACGGATGACAAGGTGGAAATTAGAATCTCATGTACCGACGCGTCCCATCCAACGCGTCTCGTCACGCGTCTTCAGGATTGAATAAATGCCACGTCAAGATCCTGATTCACCATCTGCATAATGATATTCTAGTATACACATCTCGCAAACGCTTTACTTCGTATTACAAAGACGACTTGGGCTTGAGCTCTCCCTTGACCACCTTGGACATGCTCTCGGCAAAGTACTGCAGTTATTTATTAGTTTGCTGCCCTCTGCACCAACGACCCAGCGCGCAAGCTCACCTGAATGTTGCCGTCGTTCAGTCCCGCCATTGAGATTCGCCCATCTTTCGTCATGTAGATATGAGCGCTCTCTGCGAGTTCAGCCACCTGTTCAGGTGTTACTGTGCTCATGTTAGTTATGCTCATCTCTGTCGACACTTGGACATACATCCAGTAAAGGAGAACATTCCAATCTGAGACTTGATATGTCCCCAATCTCCGGGTGTCTTGAGCTCAACCAGCAGATTGTACAGCTTTTCTCGCATAGCGATGATTCTGTCGGCCATTTTTTTCACCTCTCCAAGCCTGTTACCGTCAGACCAGCATTCTCAGTTGTATCCATATGACTTACCATTGCTCGTACAGCGCTGGAGTGCCGAGAATCGTTGCGACGAGTTGCGCGCCACTGTGGAAGTGAGCACAACACTCGGCTCTATGCCACGGATACGTACTGCAATGGAGGACTAGAATAAAGCGGCCGAATGACGCGCTTGACTTGGGAGAGAACCCGGTCCTTCTCCTCGGTCGAAGAACAGATCATCGAGAATGTTCCCGCTCGCTCTCCGTAGATTCCCAGGTTCTGGTTATCGCTATCAGACAACAAGCTTTCCGGTAGTTCAGCACTCACCTTGGCAAACGACTGGCAGAGGATGATCTGGTGGCCTTGCTCAACAAAGTACCGCACTGCGAAAGCGTCTCGAATGATATCTCCGGAAGCAAAGCCTTGGTAGGCCTATTGGCGTTAGCTTAGCTGTTTGACCGCCATCTGGACTCACCATGTCGAACAGTGCTAGATGCTTCTTTTTCTTCACCACTTCGCTCAGCTCTTTCCACTGCTCCTGGGTCGGGTCGATACCGGTCGGATTTTGCGCACAGGCATGCAGCAAGACCTGGTATCATCAGCTGAGGACATCTCACGGTTAGTATGAGCTGACGATCGATCCTGGTTCTGCTTTCTAATCACGCATGTCAGCGAAGAAATCTATTGCGTGCAGGAGAGATTCACCTCAATATCCGCCTTCATGCCCTCAAAGTCCAACCCGACAGTCTTCTTGTCAAAGTACCTGTACCGGACCACCTTGATCCCGACCTGCTCGGCCACGGGGATGTGGTTGCCCCATGTTGGGTCGGGAAGGAGGATGGTCTTGGGACCAGAGTAGAACATTGAGAGAAAGCCTGTCGCGATTCGCAAAGCGCCGGTTCCAGAGATGGATTGGGCGACTGCGACCTTGGGAGGGTCAGCCCAGTCGTGTGAAGAGCGTGGCATAGACTTGAAGGGAAGAAAGAGATGCTCACTCGGCCTTCCTTCAATGGCTTGCTGTCTTTTCCGTATGCGAGCTCGGACGCAAGCTTGCAAAACTCTCCTGCTCCCTGTAAACGATTCAGTACACAGATTTTCTTCACACTCGCGATCACTCACTGTGATCGGCAGGTACTCCTTGTCTTTTCTCTGCTCGTGCAGGATGTCCTCCGCCTTGAGTATCGAATCGAGCACGTAAGGCTTTCCATTCTCGTCACGCTGAGATGGTGAGCTCTCTTTCCAATGCAATTCAACCGATATGAAGCTCACATATGCACCTGCACGATGTAGTGCAACAAGAACGGGAATTCATTTAGAGCATGATGATAGTTTGCAGGGAGGTAGATGCAGCGGGAAGCAGGAAGGGAGAATGGGTTTATCAGTGCTGTAACTGGCAGAGGACATGAGAATTAGACCTACCGACACCAAGATTGACCTTGTGCTTCGAGCTGTCTTTATTGAAAGACTCCTGGACACCTGAGAAGCGTCAGATTACATTATACCGAGACGGTGTGTAAATTTACCGAGGATAGGGTCGGGCGGGCTGTACATGGTGAGCTCGGCGAGACATCACGCTAACACCAGCTTACCCCTGTTTGACATCTGCCCAGAAATTCGTGAAGCCTTGAAGAGCATCAGCACGTTCTCGAATGCCTGACCACGTCGACGCAAACACCAAGCACGCTAAGGACCGTGTGAGAAGCTCACTCATGATTGTTTTGCTGAGTGAGCGTGTTTGCACAATAAATTGGGATGGAAGAATGTGACGACCAATAAGTTACGATTCTATTCTCTATTGATGCGATGAGGATAGACGGAGTTGTAATGGGATTGAGGTGTTGAAACAACCGTTATGTTATGTCCGTTGAGTCAGTGCTGGCGAAAATGACCGGTTCCTTCGCCCGGTCAAGCCAACCGACTCGCCGACAGAACAACCGGCTTTTACCGGATACAACAGACAACTTCTGGTACTATAACTGTAAAACACTTTATAAGGATGACAGTCATCGAACTATCATCAAGCATAAAACTGCCATGTCTTGATAGCTCAGTTGGGAGAGCACTCGACTGAAGTCGTTAGAACTTTAGCTGACATCGAAAGGTCACCCGTTCGAACCGGGTTCAGGACATTTCTTTTTTCGCCAAAACAAGAATGAGATTTTTTTGTCATCGCCAATCATCGTCGCGTACCTGAAGAAGAACGTAAGCTCGGTGCGATGCAAGTGTGTAGAGGATGAATGCTGGACCCATCGTTGGTCTGTAGGCAAGAAAAATGTTGGCTAAATGAGACAAAACTCGTACCGCGTCTGGTTTCGAACGCTCGCGCCACAATGCCCTCCCTGGTCGAGTGGAGGCTAGGTGACTTTGGACTCGTCGACGTATGTTTTGATTCATCAACAGTAGGAGGCAGAACGCGTGTCTGAGCAGTGCCCGAGCTGTACTGCCTGTGCGCAATTGCTCAGCTCCAAGATTCCAGCTTGCGAAGAAGAGGCTCGCACTTATACCCTCTGCATCGATATCCATCCGGCCTGGATGCCACCGTCTCTGATTCAACATGGCGTATGCTCGCGTGTCTCCTGTTCGACCGAGCTTGGAGACGTTTCATAGCTCGTCTTCGGTACTTGGAGCAGGCAATGGCGGGGGAAACCTGGAGGATGAGGTCGCAAAGCAGGATGAGGAAGGGGAGACGGTGAGCTTTGCCATTCCGTCTACCACACCAAGCTCCGGAACTCATGCGCGCACAGGTTGAGAGTCTCATGTCGAAGCTGGCCATCGAGAGACGAGTGCAATATGGTGCTGAGAAGATGCTTGATGTAAGTCATGGACCTCTAGTCGAGAACCATCACTGACCCGTCTTGTAACCAGGTGATTGAGAAGCGCGGCGGAGGCGATGGGGAATCAGAACAGGTCAGGGAGCGGATCACTACCCAGCTCGAAGCTGCCAATGAGCACATAAAGATGCTAGAAGCTCGTTTGGAACGGCTGAACGGCGGTATGTATGGCTTACACTCATATACGACAGCGCTGAAGACAGCTAGGGGCTCAAACACCCCATCGCAATAGGCGACGTCCGCAGCCGATGCTGCATGGCTACCCTTCTACATCATCCCTGGGCCAGGGACTATCATCTTCCTTCGCTTCTTCGACTGGTCTCTCTGCTTCTCGGCCTCGATTACCACGGCAAGCATCCAATCTCACACCAGACCGCGAGCCGGCAAATTACCCCCTCCCCTTGTCTGGCCATGGCACGCCAAACCGGCCATCTGGAGTCTCTCCTCTCACCTCTCGACCCCGGCGCAGGAGTAGAAGCGTAGGAGAAGACTCGCTAGACTACGGTTCAGACGGCTTGAGTTCATCCAAGCTGCTCGCCAGGTCAAGATCCGACATGACTGCTGAAGGAGGAGAGCATCAGGCTGTTATGCTGGAAACTTTTGGTGTCCAGCTGAGGAGGCTTCGTGACCTCAATAGGGAAAAGGGCAAAGGCAAGGCGTCAGATAGGGGCGACGAGGAGTGGGAATGCCTGACTAGGCTCGCAGAGGTGCTGAAGAAATCTGATGGTCTCAAAGGGCTCGTCGATGTCGAGGAGGTGGTCGAATGGTATGTCGGATTTGCGCACCGTGTGACGCTTATGAGAGTAGCGTGATCCCTTACTTGGACGACGCATCGACGAACCGAAGACGAGCGGCTGCGTATCGGGTATTGAGATACGTGTTGGACAGGCCAGGTTGGGGACACATGATATCGGCCGGCTTGGAGTGGCTCATCACCCGGTAGGTTGCGTTGTGCACAACGTTGGCGGTCAAGCTCACTCGTTTCCTCAGCACCTTCACCAGAGACTCTAAAGCCGTCCACGAGCGTGAACAAGCACTTCGGCTGCTTCGAGCCGTCATAGTCCTTCCGCTTCCACCACGTCATCTGCTTCTCAGATCGCCTGTAATCTCCCGTGGCGACACTTCTCAATCACCGCCAGGTCGAGGATATTCCCGGCAACCTTCTTTCTCGGATCATTCACAACAGCCTTCTCGTCCAAGTTATGCTCGCCAACCCTCAGTCTCTAGCCATCGTCGAGGCCCGGTATCACCTCCAGATCCCGATCCAATCGGCGAATTGCTTAGTCGTCGTCTACCTTTGACCGATGCCATGGTACGGGCTGTTGTCAGTGTGGCGGAGAATCCGGACGACCCTATGCGAATGATATGCCTGCAAACGCTAGTTGAGATCGGTAAGTTGGTACTTGTCTCCTGTGGTGCTTTCGGCTGATAGTGACTAAGGGATTCTCGACATCGAACGTCTGATTCGATCTGAAGCCTTTCGAACGATCTTGCAGGCGATCAAGGACGGTCCCGCCGAGCTAGGGCCCGCCATGACTGGTCTTATGCTCTACCTGACGAACCATCCTTCGTCTCGACAGTTCCTGCTACCCGGCTCTGACGTAGAAGTGAGCAAGATCAACAAGGTGCCGTCACATACTGACAACTCGTAGAGCGTCCTCGTCGGTATTACAGAGACATATGGAAAGATTCCTAGTAGACAACAGGCAAGACTTAGTGACAAGCTGCAGAACTCTGTACGGTGTATCAGCATGTTACTCAACACTTGGACCGGTGAGTCGTCACTCAACTCAACTTATTGCTGGCACTCACCACAACAGGCTTCCTCTATCTGTTGATGGACGACGCCCGTGCTATCAGGTCATTGATCAGTTCCTTGCATGTTCCGATCGTGGAAGTTCAGGCGAGTCACCTGTATCACTCCCGTTCAAGACATTGACCAAATTTTAGGAAGCTATGCTCGACTTGACTTTTTCAGCATTACGGATAAAGCGGCCTTCCTGGATGAATGCTTTCTTGGCGGGGAAGCGACTGACTGGTTAGTCACTGTTGCACGTAGCGAAGTTGTGATTGACCTTCGTGCAGTGTACAACAGAACTCAAGAAGCTACTTCGCAATTGCAAGACGGGATCGACGAAGAGGAACCGCCTCAACATCTGAATCTTCTTGACCACTACGTCGCTCTCCTTTTAGCGGTCCTGATCGAGAATGGTCTTGTCGAGGTGAGCGTGCCGCGAGAGTGTGATAAGTCTTTTCCTAACCTTACGACAGTCCCTTGTCATCGTCATCGAAGACGGTGATGCCAGTGCAATCCACCGAAAGTGTACCCTCCTTCTCGGCGAGATCCTGCAGATGGCAAATCGGATCCTTCCACTGCAATACGCAGCGAAACTTCAGGTGTGTTCCCGGCGTCTGCCTGACTGACACCACCAGTCCTTACCTCGTCTGTTCACGGGTGCCACGAAGTTTTCATGCCCGGAGGAGATGCATGTCGCGCTCTCTGCTCTGTCGGCCATTGATAGTCTTAATCGCAATCAGTCGAAAGCAGCCAAACAGGCTGTGAAGGATCGACCGAGGTACGAGCATGATGTTAAGTCAATGACATGCTGAACAGTGCGCAGGAATTTAGCGCAAGATTCTTTGCAAAGAGGACAAAGACAGGTTCAGCAAGTCAGGCTTCGTCTAGGTCTGCAAATCGAGGATAGGCAATTCCAGCAGATGGTCAATGACAGCGGCGTAAGTTCTTTATTCAGCGCGTCGTTTGAACTCACACAGCCCTAGGTGCTCCTCGGTCGAGACCACACAAAATGGAATTATGAAGTAATCCTGGAGCTCATCGAAGGCCCGCTCCTTAATGCAAAGCGCCTCGATGAAGCGATCAAAGCTACGAAATTCATCAGGAGAATATTCTCTTTCTTCCATCCATACAACAACCGATTCTCAAGCATAAAGCGGACACGGGTATGCATGCTTTGGTTTTCAAAGGTAACAGCTTGACTGATCCTAAATAGCCAAACCATAAATGGGTACGATTGGGATGTGCCCTGTTATCGACTATGCTCGTCAACGCAGAAGGGATCCGTTTCATATCCGAAGATAAACTGCTACGGCAAATGGTCGAATGCTTCAGCGAACTCGACCAGTATACCGGCCCAGTTAGTCCGACGCCGGTATTTGCACGAGACCGAATCGAGAACTCCCTTACATATGGATACTTTGAATTTATCGGTACCTTAAGCAAGCATCGCGAGGGAGCAAAGTGAGCATACGATCAATGCGCCAATTTGATGCTGATACAAGGGAGGCTGCTGGAAAAGTTCAAGTTTTTCACTTGTTTCTACCATTTGAGCGAACAGAGAAGTCGTGACGATATCACTCGTATCATTATTGAATGCTTCGATTACACCATGTGAGGACCTTTTATGGCCGTTAAGCGTGACACTGAGACAGAGCAGAGACGGGCACCCGCGCATCGTACTCTCCAAAGCTCTTACTTCGGCATATATGGTAAATCCTCAGTCTAGCCATGTTCAAAATTAACAACCGTCCAGGAGACTCGACTGTTTGCCACGCATCACCTTGGGCGACTCCTTCAAGACTCACCGACATTAAAGGACTGGGCACTTCAGCTCATGATCACTCAGCTTTACGACACCTCGATAGAGGTCTGCGATGTGGCTGTCATGTATCTCGAGGAGGTGTGCCACGATCCAGCATGCTTGGAAGAGGTTGTCCGCCTGCGTCCTTCGCTAGAGCATCTTGGAGAAATTGGTGGACCACTGTTCATGCAGTGAGTATCCTACGAGTGATATTGGATTAAACTGACGATTCAATAGATTTGTATCGACCAGTGTTGGATTCCAGTATCTGCATCAGTCCCAGTACATTGAACGAGAACTTGATCTGTGGTTAACGGAGCGGAACCTTTTATATGTCATAGAAACCGAGACCTGGGTCTCTAAGACGCTACGGCCGTTCACGAGCGACACTGTCGAAGATTACTGGTGAGTCTAAAAGACAGAAGACTGGAACTCTGCTGACCATGACTTAGGTCCTATGAAAGCATGGCGCCTACTCACTTCTTTGGCGAACTCACCAAGACGCCAGAAGGCTGCCAATTGCTCAAGTCCAGGGGCATCGTCGCAGACTGTGCCGAGATCGTTCGACTTCACGGAATGGAAGCAGAGGATCAATCTATCCTGATGAATGTCAAGAGTGTACTCTGGTGTCTGGTGTGTTATACTCTTATAGGTGAATGAGCAAGCTGATCAAGATAGGGCAACATTGGGTCGACATCA